AAGGACCCCACCCCCACACTGCCACCTGCTCCCCCTTCTTGGCTGGGGGGGCACGAGAAGGGCGGTGCCTCTGCAAGCATCGCATGGGGTGGGCAGAGACCCCTCACCCAACAGGAAACCCCCAGGCACCCTCAGCTTTGGGATGAGCCTGGAAGGAGGCAGAGGGGCAGGATGCGGTCTCAGTGAGGACACCCCAGCTCCATCCTCTTCCCAAGCCCACCACAGAAGTGCAGCCACCCACAGACCCCCCCAAACCTCACTCCCCTGCCCCGTGGCAGCCTCGAGCTCTCCAAGCAGCCCATGTGCCTCCCCGTGTCCATCACTGCAGCAGCTCCTCCCAGGAGATGGGCCTGGAGAACACCTCCCGCTCCAGCCACAGGTCGTAGTTGACCTGGAAATCCTCGGGCAGGTCCACACGCTGGCCCAGCACGCTCTGCAGGCAGTTATCCACGGGCAGGAAGTCGGGGTTGCCGTGGGCCCGGTCGTAGCGCCGCGAGTTGAAGCGCTCGATGCTGGCGCGCAGGGCACACTCCTCCGCCTGGAAATCCCAGGGACGGGCGTCCAGGTCTGGGAACAGGGATGAGACTGCTCAGAGCAGAGCTGGGGACTCCTCAGGCAGCCCAAACCCCTCGGTGTGGCGGTTTAACCCCAGCCAGACTGAGCCCCATGCTCATTCTCCCACCAGCCGGAGCAGGGAGGAATCGGGAGGGTAAAAGCTGGAAAACTGGTGGGTTAGGATAAAGACAGCTTAACAAAGAAAGCAAAAGCTGTGTACACGAGGAAATAAAACCAAGGAATTAATTCCCTGCTTCCCACGAGCAGGCAGGTGTTCAGCACCTTCAGGAGAACAGGGCCCCATCCCAGGGAATGGTGACTTGGATAACAACAGCATCACTCCCAACATCCCCCAATTCCTTTCTTCCCCACACTTTATATTCTGAGCATGATGCCCTAGAGTCTGGAATATCCTTTGGTTCCCTTTCCTCCCAACAACCCAAACACCCCCAGCCCCCTCACACCTGGCCTTTGTAGGTACTTCCACAAAGTGCAGAGCCAGCAGCCACCAACAGCTCCCAGCACAGCACCAGCACTATCTCCCAACATTCCCACCCCATCAAGCACCTGGATGTGGACAAGATCCTGGGAGGGGACACAGGCCAGCTGACCCTAATTAGCCAAGGGAATATTCCAGGCTCTGTGATGTCAGATCAGATATAAAAGCTAAGGAAAGGAGGAGGAATGATGGGGTATTTGTAATTTAAAATATGCCTTCCAGAGCAGCCACTCCACGTGCTGCAGCCCAGCTCCCCTGGAGTGGCTGAACATCACTGGCTGATGGGAAGTAGAGAACAAACCTATATTTTTTTGTGCTCTAGCTGTACTAAACTACTTTATCTTAACCTACAAATCATTTCCCATCTGATTTTCTCTGCCCTGTCCAGCTGGGAATGGGAGCCACAGAGCAGCTTGGTGGGCACCTGGTTGAGCTCAACCAGCCAAGGTCCACCCAGGTCAACCCAGCGAACCTGCCCAAGCCCCAGGCAGCAGGGGTGAGCTCAGGGCACAGAGCCTGGAGCAGGAGGGCTGGGAATGCCAGGGATGCCAGGATGTACCATTGCCGTAGGCCCAGTCGTCGTTGAGGCGGTGCCGCACTTTCTGGTAAATGGCTGACATGGTTTTCATGTTGCTCTTCCTCCACTGCCGGCCCAGGTACTTGGTCTGCACCTTGAGCAGCTTCAGCACATAGAGCTGCATCATGGCCTGCTTCACCTTCAGAGCCCGCTTCAGGATCGGCGCCGACTTGAACACCACCAGCATCTGCCAGAACATTGCCAGATCCCAGCTGGGATGGACTCCTGGGCCAACCCCTCCTCCACTGCCTGCTCGCTCCTCGCTCCCCACCGAGCGCTGGGCTGCCCCAAGTCATGCCCAGGGCAGGTGCCTGGCCATGCTGAGCTCCAGAACATTCCCAGCCCTCACCATGGTGCGGGAATGCTTCCACTTGGTCAGCTTGTTCAGGATGCGCAGGAGGTTTATGCAGGAGAAGAGGTTCCGCCAGCAGAACTGGTTGTTGTCTCCAGCTTCCTGTGGGGAAGGAGATGCAGGGTCAGGCAAGGGATTGGAGTGGGGATGGGAGGCTGTGGTGATCTGAGGAGCCACATCCAAAGGGGACAGCACAGCATCTGCACATGGAATCGCACAATCATGGAATTGTTAAGACTGGAAAAGCCCTCTGAGATCAAATCCAACTGTTCCCCCAGCACTGCCAAGGCCAACAGTAATCCCTGTCCCCAAGTCAACACTCACACATTTTTTGAACTCTTCCAGGGACAGTGACTCCAGCATTGACAGCCTGTACCGGTGCCTGACCAGGCTTTTCACACATTTTTTTCTCCAATATCCAACCTGAACTTCCCCTGGCACAGCTTGAGGCCATTTTCTTTTGTCCTATCCCTTGCTCCCTGGGACCAGAACCTGAACCCCCAGCTCCACCCTCCTGTCAGGGAGCTGTGGAGAGCCAGACAATCCTCCCTGAGGCTCCTTTTCTCAAGGCTGAATCCCCCCAGCTCCCTCAGATGTTCCTGGTGCTCCAGTCCCTTCCCCAGCTCCATCCCTTTCTCTGACATGCTCCAGCCCAGCAGACACCTGCCATCCCCACCCCCTCCCCAAAATCCCAGCACAGCAGAGCTGAGGGTGCAAGGGCTGGCTGCTGGAGCTCTGCTGCCTCCCTGCATCCCAAATTTCCCCAGGAAGCACCCCAGGTGCCAGGACTGTCACAGGACTCACCAGGCTCTCTGCTGTCAGCTCTGGCAGCTCGTGCACAACACAGTAGGGATAGTCCAGCACGGAGATGCTGCAGGAAGGACAGGGGTGGTCATGCTGTTCCCCCAAATCCCCCCTGGCCTGGGGGAAATGCAGCCCCCACTGCCCAGCCACTGCAGATGGGCTGTGGTGGGAACTTTCCAGGGCTGCCTGAGCCACTGCCAGGGAGGGACTGTGGAGGGGACAAAGAAACAGGGCCCCCTCCCCACATCCCCCAGGAATGCAGGTGGGCAGCCTTCTCCCTCACCTGTTTTTGGCAGTGATGTAGGACATGATGTTCTGGTTGAAGAACTTGAGGATGAGAGGGATGCAGTTGGCAAAGACCAGGTGCTGGGCCATGTACTCAAACTGGGGAGGAGAAAGGTGGGTGAGCAGGGATCCAGTCGAGGTCCTGCCTTGGCCAAAGACCCGTGGGCACGGCTGGACCCTGGCCCACCTCACCTGGTAGATGTGGTTGAGCTTGAAGTGTTTGAGCAGGAGGAGCAGCACGGCAGAGATGGCCTTGACGATGATCTCCTTGTGCCGATTGACATCCACGCCCAGCTTCATGCTCTGCAGCACGGTGGTCCTGGGGACACAAGGGGATTGTATCAGGAGCAATTCTTCCCTCTCAGGGTGCTACAGGTTGTCCAGGGAAGCTGTGGCTGCCCCATTCCTGGAAGTGTCCAAGCCCAACTTGGTCTAGTGAAAGGTGTCCCTGTCCATGGCAGGGAGTGGAACTGGATGCGCTTTAAGGTCCCTTCCCACCCAAAACATTCCATGACTCCATAGTCCTTGGGCTGGGGCAGGGCCTGCCCCTCCCACTTCCTGCAGGGTGCAACCCAGGGCAGAGCAGGGTCACATCCCCCAAGGAGCCCCAGCCCACTCTGTGTCACTCCCCCAGCTCCCTCCTTCCCTTCCCACCCCAGCCAGCTCCCCTGCTCCACGGCCACTCACGGCATCTCCTCGGGCAGGACATCTGCCAGGATGTTGATGGAGTCTGTCTTGGCTTTGGAGGTGGGGGCTGCAGCCAGGAGGATCTTCAGCAGAGCAATCTGAAAGAGAGAGATGGAGGGGGAATGGGAGCTGCAGGGGACTGGCCACAAACCCTTTCCCCACTGCAGGAAGGAGGAACAAAGCAGGGTGAAAAATTGGCCTTCATCACTGGAAAGGGACTAATCCAGGGGATCCCAGTGCTCCCCAGCTCACCATGTACTGGGGCAGGCTGGGCAGCAGGCCCTGGTACAGGATCTCTGCAGGGACTTGCTCCACTTCCTCTTCCCCCTGGTGCCAGGAGAGACCAGAAAACCTCATGCCAGGAGCTGCCACCAGCACCATGGAGCATGAACCCAAGGGCAGGATACCCCCAACTCCTGCCCCAACTCCCTCTGCCCCAGAGAAACCCCTCCCCAGCAAAACAAACCCCTCAGCCCTGCCAAAAAACCTGGCAGGACCAAGTTCCCCCAACTCCCAGCCCAGCATCTCCAACCCATCCCAATCCCAATCCCAATCCCACACTCACTCCAGAGAGCGGGGAACGCAGGTACTCTTCTTCCATGTGCACCTGCACCTCAGCAATGGACGTGTACTTGTGCTGCAGGGGCACAGGGCAGGGTCAGCACGGTCCCCAGCACTGCCCCCAGCCCCAGCCTGCTCCCACCATCCTGTTCCATCCCTCCCAGACCCATCCCGGGGGTGACCTGTGTGCATGTGCAGGGTGGGAGCTGCTGGGCTCTGTCTGGGACAAGGCCACTAGGAAAGGGATGAAGACATGAAGAAGGGGATAAAACCCCCTAAGAAAGGGATAACATCCTCTAAGGAAGGGATGGAGCTCCCTAAAGAAGGGATGGAGCCCCCTAAGGAAGGGGCTCAGACAACCTGTAAGTCCAGAATGAGATCAAAGCTTAAGGCTACTCTCCCATGGTGGAGGAAGGGGAAAATGGTCAAGAAAATCCACCCTGAGCTGTGATGGGAGCAGGGAGATGGGCAAGGGGCACCCATATAGCAGCAGGAGCTGGAGGAATTCCTTAACTCACCAGCTTCAGGGTGCGGATGCTCTCATGGATGGGCCTGGGCAAGCCCACCACGGTGTTGGTGTCACTGGAGGAGGGAAAGAGCCAGGCTGGGAGCAGGGCTGAGCACCCAGGGGTGGGGCAGAGACCACCCAGGGATGAAGCCACGGACCAGCCAGACAAGGCCCTCCCTGCTGCCATTTAGAGACAAAAGCAGCCCCCAAATTGGCCTCTCCAACAGGCCCCCCCATAATGGCAGCACTGGGCTGGCTCTGAACCCACCTGCCCAGTGTGTAGCCGATGAATTTGCTGCGGCTGGATTCCAGGAACATCTCAATGTCTTTCTCCCTGCAGCAAAGGGAGAAGGGAAGAGTCACATCTTCCTGTGCCTCTGGAAAACACCCAGCCAGGCACAGGGAAAGGCCTCGTGGTCAGGTAAAGGGTGCCCAGCCAACCCCACAAGAAAACTGCCATCCAAGTGACCATCCCATCCCCAACACCTTCCCTACATCCCTGCTGAGATTCCCAACATCCAACAGCCTCCGCTTCCCTGACCCTGCTCCAGTTCTCCCAACAGGGAGCTCCCCGGACTCACCGGACCTTGGGGGCCCAGGGCAGCCCTTTGGGGCAGGTGATGCGGTCACTGGGGGGGTGCTGGGTAGGGGGGGGCATCACTTCATCCCGTTCCAGGGGGAAGGTCTCTCCCTCCAGGCTGTTGTCATCATCATTTTCCTCCTCTTCCTCGCGGGAATCGTCAGCTTTGTACGGATCCCGCTCATTGAAGGCATCGAGGTTATCCTGCTTAATGAGGGCCTGGAGGGGGGAGAACAGGCAGGGAATATCCTGGAAACAAGCCCAGACCCTGGCAGTGCCCTCCCTAACGGCCCCATCCCCACCTTGTGCTCCCTCCGGCCGCGCTTCTGCTGCTGCTCGATGAGGTCGGAGGCGGAGGCGGGCGGGGAGGCCGCGCGCATGTTGCGGATCACCTGGATGCTGTCCTCGGGCAGCGGCGGCAGGCCCAGCATCTCCCTCTTCTCTGCCTTCATGCTCTGCAGCTCCTCAAACCCTCCCAGGGTGCACTGCAAGGGACAGCATGGCATGCTGAGCATGGGGGGCTCCAGGGGCATCCACACCTGCCCTTCCCAAACCCACTCTGCAGGATCACACATCATTCAGGTTGGAAAAGCTCTCTGAAATCATCCAACTGCTCCCACAGCACTGCCAAGGCCACCTCTAACCCGTGTCCCCAGGTGCCACATCCATGTGTCCTTTAAATCCCCCTGGGGATGGTGACTCAAACACCGTCCTGGGCAGCCTGTGCCAATGCCTGACCTCTCTTTCCATGACAAAAATTTCCCAATATCCAACCTAAGCTTCCCGTAGCACAGCTTGATGTTGTTTCCTCTTGTCCTGTCCCTTGGTCCCTGGGAGCAGAACTTGATCCCCTCCTGGCTGCCTCCTGGCAGGGAGTTGTGCAGAGCCAGAAGGTCCTCCCTGAGCCTCCTTTTCTCCAGGCTGAGCCTCTTTCCCAGCTCCCTCAGTTACTCCACACCCTTCCCCAGCAACGTTCCCCTCCCTGGACACACTCCAGCCCATCCAAGTCTCTCTAGTCCTGAGGAGCTCAAATCTTTTCCCAGGATGGATTTGGATGGGAAGAGACCTTTCAAATAGGAGCTGCCTTTCCTGTGCTCCTCTTGCCACTGAGAGAGGAGGGACAGGAGAGTGTCCAAGCATCCACAACTGCAGTGTTCAGAACTTTCCTTTCCCCAGCCAGGGACCTTGCTTTGGGTCTATCCTTAGTATCCAGCGCCAGACAACAATATCCAATGCTTCCCTATGGGGGAAAACCTGGGGTTGGGTTTAAAGGAAAACTGAACACCAGAACAAGAGGATGGAGCAATTAGAGCCATCTCTGAGGGCAGAATTCCCTCCTCTGCCAAGTACCAAACCACACATCCCACATCCCACGGCCTCTCCTTACCAGCACAGTCTTCCAGAGCAGAAGCAGCACCTTCTTCATGGGGAAGTGTGGAGCGTGGCCACTGCAGAATTTGGTCACCATCCCAAAGAGCATGACGGAGAAGGGCTCGTTGTTGTACAGGGGAGCTCCTGGAACCACACAGCACCATTAGCCAGGAATTCCTCATCCCAGTGGGCCTCACCCCAATCACCAGCATCACCAGCTCCTGCACCCTCCTCCCCATCAGCTCCAAGATCCTCACCTCACCCCTGACAGCTCCCTCTCCCCTTCCAAGGCCTTGTAAACTCCATCATTTCTTACCTCTATGTTCAGAGGAAACAATAGCTCCAATACTCCGTTTTTTTCCCCCAGAGAGCACCCAGCAGCAGAAAAGGCTGGATGGCTTCCTCTGCTCACCTCCCTCTGCCTCACAAGTTGAGCAGAAGCCAACCCAGTGCTGCCAGTCCCTATTATCCAACTCCTAGAGCCAAATCCCATGTCACTGCCTCCAGCCCTGGCAGCTCTTTCCCAGCTCCTGGTCCTCACCCAGCTCTGCTCGGAAGGTTTGTCTCATGCTCTTCCATTCGGGCTTGTCCCCCTCAGCCTCCTGGCGCACAGTCTCCACAATCAGGTACATGATGTTCAGCAGCACCCTGCAAGAACCAGGGCAGCTGAATCCCGCACACTGGGATAAGTTATGGAAGCACTGTCAGCACCCAGGGCTCTGGGAGAAGTTGGTGCAACCCAGACCACATCCAGAATTCATGTACCTGCTCCACACCAGCACACAGGCACTGGGGGAAAAAGTCTCTGCAACTCCTAACAGGAAAAAAATCCACTTTCCCAAATTTTACTGCTTTCATATCCCCAGTCTGTCCCATTCCTGCTGTGCAGGCTGAGCACAACAGACACCTGCAGAAGCTCTCAAGAGCTGGGACAGCTCTGGGACTCCTTCCAGTGCCTGTCTCAGCCTCCCAAAGCTCCCAGAAAATCCTGCCTCCCCTCCTGGTCCCTCCATACCTGAGGTCAGTGCTGTCAGCCAGGGAAATGGCCGGTTTCCTCACGGCACTGGAACAGGCTGCGCTGTTGCTGTGGAGGGAGAACAGCTCAGAGGGAATCTGGGGGAACTCAAACTCTGTCATGGGCACTCCACGTGCCAGCTCCAAACCCTGAGACAGACACTGCTGCCATGAGCTCCCTGCTCCCAGCACAGCCATGGGAGGAGGAGCAGAGCTGCCTGTTTGCTGCCAGGCAGTTTGATTCACCGGGAATTTCAGGAGAAATCAGGCATAATCCTACGTTACACATCCACCCAGAACAACAGGAGTCACTCTGGTGAGCTCCAGAGCCATTCCTGAAGGGTTTTCCCGCAGTACTCACTCAATCTCCATGTTCAGCAGCTCCACCAAGGCGTTGAACGTTCCCACTTCCAGCAGGAGGAAGATGTTGTACCTCATCCAGGCCTGGACCTCGGCCTCGGAGCTGCACTCCCCGAAGGTGCCTGCGAGGAAACGCTGCTGATGCCACCTCCATGGGCACTCCCACAGCAGCACAGCGCATGGAAAACACAAAAACACACCCTTCAAACTGAGGGAAAACCGGGATGCAGAGGAGGGAACTGCCCTCTCTGGGTGATGCATTCCAGGTCTGGCAGAACTGGGGTAACACAGGGAAATCAGCCACGTTTTGGGACAAACTGCTCTAAACTATCAGGTCCCAGATTCAGCTTCGCTCCAGACATCCCTGGTGGAATCAAATCCACAAGGAATGACAATTCTTCCAACTATTATGTGGTAAAATAATGAGTAATTATTGTACTACATTCATTATATCTTATGTATATATATTACACACAATATATATAACATATTGTGTATAATGTATAATATAGACTAGATATACTGTATATAATATAAAAATACATATCACATTTAATTGTATATAGTGTATAATTATATACACAATGTATTATATGTACATATATACATATACGTACATATATGTATATAATATATGTATACAATATACAATATATTGTATATTGTATATATACAATATACAGTATATTATCATATGTATTGCAAATTATATTGTAGTATGTATTACATGTAGTATAGATATTACAATTAAATATTTTTATGTGTGTACTTTACATTTGAGATTATATTGAACTATGTCTCATATATAGTATATACATAAAAATGTTAGTTTACATATAATTATATATTTTTATGTATATATTATATATATGTGATTATATTGAACTATCTCATACATAGTATACACAAAAAAATACAATTATAATATGCATATTATATATAATAAATAGCACAATATAATCTACAATACATATAAAATACAATGTATTGTACTATATGTGTGTATAATATATACATATCATGTATATGATATACATTGTACATATATTATGCACATACAACATATGTTGTATTATGTACGTATTATATAATACAATATATATTGTACTATACATAATATAAAACTGTATATTACATATTGTATATTATATAGTATATATAGTATAATATATTAAATATAGATAAGATACATACCTACATATGTAAAAACTCTATGAACATAAAGGAGTTCTATGTGATTTAAATATACACTATATATAAAATATAGTTAATGTATACAATATAACACACAATTGTAGATCTAATTGTACAACTACATTGTACAATATATAAAATATATACATATATATTAACCATATAATACATATATCTGAGATATATTATTATATATTATATAAAATATGTAGTAATATATATACTTATATGTTATATATACTTATATACATATATATTTTTATATATATACTTACATATATACTTTTATATATATGTTTTATATACTTTTATTATATATTTTTCTAATATATACTTACATATATATTTTTATATGTTTTATAGATAAACTTTTATTATCATATATTTTTATACATACTTACATATATATTTTTATATATATGTTTTATAGATTTACTTTTATTATATATATATTTATATATATACTTACATATATACTTTTATATATGTTTCATAGATAAACTTTTATTATATATATATTTTTATATATACTTACATACTTCTATTATATATTTATTTTTTATATATACTTACATATATGCTTTTATATATGTTTTATAGATATACTTTTATTATATATATATTTTTATATATACTTATATATTTTATATGTATATGTACTTTTTTATATATTTATATATACACACATATACATACATACACATACATAGATATACATATATATACACATATACATACATACACACATATATATACATATATATACACATATACATACATACACACACATATATATACATATATATACATATACATACATACACACACATATATATACATATATATATACATATATATACACATATACATACATACACACACACGTATATATATATACACACACACGTATATACACATATATATACACACACACACATACATATACACATATATCTATACCCATGTCACAATAGAATCTATAAATAGAATTTATGGCCTCAGCAGTGTGGCAGGCAAGGGCATGTCACAATAGAATCTATAAATAGAATTTATGGCCTCAGCAGTGTGGCAGGCAAGGGCCAGAGGCCACTGTCACCTTGTGCCACGTAGAGGATGGCCCGTGCCACGCGCAGCCGCTTCTCACGCGCCGTCACCTCCAGCCCGTCCAGCAGGCGCATGGCGTGGGTGCGGTGCTGCGTCCGCTCCAGCTCCGGCCACTTCTTGTCCCTCACTGCAAGGCAAAGCAGGGCTTGGCCACTGAGGGATTGGCTCAGCAGAGCCAGGGCACGCAGTGCTGCAGGGGAAGGGCTCCCGGCACGAGTGGTGGCTCAGGGATGTCTCTGCTGTCCGCAGGTGATCACATCGGTCGTGGCATCGTGGAGCCACGGGGATCGTCCAACCCAGCTCCTGGCCATGCACAGATACCCCAAATCCCACCCTGGGCATCCCTGGAGCTGTGTCCAAACTCTCCTGGAGCTCTGGCAGCCTTGGGGCTGTGCCCATTCCCTGGGGGGCCTGGGCAGTGCCAGCACCTCTGGGGGAAGAACCCTTCTCCGATACCCAGCCTAAATCTCCCCTGGCACAGCTCCAGCCACTCCCTTGACTCCAGTCCCTGCTCAGAGATCAGAGCTGCCCCTCAGGAATAGCTGCAGACCCCAATGAGCTCTGGCATCAGGCTCCTCTTCTCCAGGAAGATAAATCCCTGTCCCTCCCCAGGGGATGAGGAATCCAGGAAAGGGCTCTTACTGTGGATCCTGAAGTCCTCCTCAAAGCATTTTCGGTTGAGCAGGAACTCTGGCCCCTCCGTGTAGCTGTACAGCTCTGCCAAAAGAGGAGAAGCTCCAAAAACCTGCACCAAGCTGCAACTTAGCCCTCAGAACCATGGTTTTAGCCACAATATCAAAATGTAATAAAACCCCACCCAGTGTAAAGCCAAAACGCATATCCTGTCCCTTTTAATATCAATACACCATTTAAATATAATAATTAAGTGCTACTGGAATTGCAGAGTTCCTTTAATTCTACCAGGAGAGGAAATCACGGTTGATTAATTGATCCATCACAGAAGAATTCCTTACCTGACAGCTCTGCTGTCCATTTATCCGTGTCTGCATATTCAAACTCCAGGTCTGGCGACTCCGAATAGCCCTGAAAACACAGGGGGAAAAATCAGTTCCATTACAGCATATTTCAGAAAAACCAAAATCCCTGAAAACACTCACAATTCACCTCATCCTCCTGCAAATCCAGGGCCGGTTTTCCTGGTTTAGGGACCAAAAACATTTCTGCAGCAGCACAAACGTTACCGAGGCAACTCCAGCCCACCTCCTGCGTCTCCACCGGCAGCGCCACACCGAGCCACTGCAGCACCCCCAGAGCAGGGGGGGAGCCCCCAAAGCACAACAAGCGTGGCAGGAGACAGGGAGAGGATTCTGTGAGATCAGGGAGCTCTCAGAGCTCACCCATTTCGCCCAAAATTGGGAAAATTTGGGTATCCCCCTGTGCCATCCCAGCAGGTGGGATTAGTGAGGATGAAACAATTCCAAACAGCTTTGGGGAGAGACCCTCACAAATTTTGGGATGCTGAGCAAGGGGCAAATCAACACCAGAACTCTCCTGAATTATGAGGCTCCCACTACTGAGCACGAGGAGGATCCAGAACAGAATCCACACCTACTCCTGAGTGAGGGGCAGACCCGTACAAGAACCATCCTAAATTTTGGGGCACCCACTCCTGAATGAGGGGCACAAAATTCTTCTGAATTACGGAACTCCCACTCCTGAGTGAGGGGCAGATCCATACCAGAACTCTCCCAAATTTTGGGCATCCACTTCTGAGTGAGGGGCAGACCCTGAGCAGGATTTTGGGACACGCCTGAGCACAGGGCAGACACTCTTGGGACATCCACACCTAAGCGAGGAACAGAGCCACAGCAGAATCATCCCAAATTTTGGGGCACACATTCCTGAAGAAAGGGCATGCCCAGAACCAAACCCACACAAATTTTGGGGCACTCACCCCTGAATGAGGTGCAAATCCACAGCAGAACTCTCCTAAATTTGGGGGCTCCCACTCCTGACAGAGGGGCAGACCCACACCAGAACAATCCCGAATTCCAGGAGTCTCAGAGAGGGGCAGCTCCAAGCCCCTGCCTTGTGCTGCCTCTGCTCTGCTGGGTGCCCCCCCAGCACCTCAGGTTCTCCAAGATTCCCCCTCGCATCCCTCCCCGGGCATTCCAGGGACCTTCCTGAGGAACCCGTGGGTGCGAACGGCTCAGGGGCCATCCCAGGAATGACAGCCTTTGGAAAAGCCCCGGGATAGCTCAGCTCCACAGAACCCCCCGAGGCTCAGGGTGACCCCAGGACCGCGGGGTGTCCCTGGGGGGGTGTTGGTCTCCTCTCGCTGGATCCATCTCCGGTCCGAGCACGGCAGCGGGACCCGACACCCCACCCCGGGCTGGTACCGACTGCAACACCGAGAAAACCCCCGGATGGGCTGTGAGACCCCCGGGCCAGCCCTGTCACTCCCGTTTGGGACCGGCGGACCGAGCCACGTTCGCGCCCCAGCCCGGTCACAGCGGCCCGGCCCTGGGGAAGGGGTGCATGAAGGGGAAACCGGCACCGACCGAGACCGCCAGGGTCCGGGCAGCCCCAGTTCCGAGCG